TAATTAATACTCAAGAAAAACATTTGCTGCAACCAAATGGAGCAAAACAAAAAAAAAAGAAGAAAGAAACAACATCTTCCACATGCCGATGTCATCAGTTTTGCCGCCTGATTAAAGCAGCTCTAGTTGTACGCATATAATAAAGTAAAAAAAAAAAAAGCTAGGAAATTGATCTTAAAAAGTATCATCAATTATGTTAAATAAGCTTATTCTAACACAGTTAAACATACATCTTAAAAGATGTTCTTGCAGCTCAGTGAGGCTGTACTTGGGCACAACAGTGCTTTGATCTAATGCTAACGTCAGCATGCTAACATGCACACACAGGCAACATTATGCAGCCGTATACCACCTTATTAACATGCAAACATTTGCTCATTAAGACAATCAGGTGAGGTTTCTCATGTTTCTACCAACATGAAAGGAAAAGTGAGGGGATCTCTGTGCAAAATTCCATCGCAAAGCATTCAATGTTTGAGATATTTGGCCACAATTAAAGAAAGACTTGATGCTGCCACAGTGAAAAGTGTCAGCTTCTGTGTTTCGAGAATAAATGTAGCATCGTTCATCAAGAAGACACTGTTCCCTGAATCCAGATGATTTACATGGACAGGTACGCCATCTGTTGTTTTCCTTCCGCCTTTGTCAACCACTTGATAAACCTTATTTGAAAGAAAAAAAAAGCAATTCCCATAATTATTGCTAGAAGTTTGTTATCATTTCAGCGAGACAGGACCAGAGAGCAGCAGACCGATAGAAGAGATAATTACAATCGCATACTAATTAACTCAATAACTACTCCCAAGAAGGTGTGATCAGTGCTTCCCTTGAGAACATTTTGCTGTGTGTGGGGAAAAAAAAAAAACAAGACTGGAGTGGAGCATCTGCAGGGAAAGCAAACAAGCATCTTTCTGTGGAGGAAAAAGGAATGACGGTAGCCAAAGTGACTACTTAGTGAAGCCACCAGAGAGCATGAAATGCGGCCAATCAGAGGCAATTATGTGACGCGAGCCAACAGCTTGACTCCCAGCGTAACTAAAAATCTAATCCGTCTATCAGAGATAACGCCGAACACATCAACAATCGTGTCTGCATAAGAACCGCAGCAGGCCATCCAGCGATATTAAAGCTCCCTTTCCAAAAGCCTGGGTGGAAAAGTGAAGAGTAGGAAATGTAAATAGATACAAGCCTGAGGGAATCCGTGGGAGCACAACCCACATAACGATCTGTCTGTTTAATAGCGTGTGGGAGAGGAAGAGTAAGGGATGGAGAGAAATGTTCTCTTTATCTCTTCATTAATAGTCACAGAAAAGGGATTTATGGGTGTTCGGCATCTGTCATTAACTGGCCAATTTAAGAGGGGCTTAAAAAAAAAAAAGAGCGGGATATGTACACTGCGTTGTATTTCTTGGGCGCATGTAAAAAGGGAATTTGGTCCGCCAATTCAGCTCGCCATTATATTTTCTCCCAGGCTGAGTATTTCATTTGCAGATGAATAGAGGCCAAAATCAGGCTTAATGGAACGCTACGGCGCTTATATAAACGTACATTTTAATATAAACCTCAACTGTGCGTCTCTCTTCTAGATTAAACGCTCGAATTTACACTCAAAGTACAGTCGGCCGTTTGAAAGGATTAGCCCTAACCTTGACCGACGTTTCTTTGTGTGCCTCTTTCAGAACTTCCACAATTTTCTCAACATTTCTGACGCCGCTCCCGACGGAGACACAGAAGTGGTGATTCAATACGCCATGACACCAATTAGTGGGGTAAATAATGGCGCGGCCAACAGAAGCATTCCCACTGCGGCTTCCCCACCTCACTGATCTCCCTGGTCTGTCTCTTATCAAAGCGGCTTTTTTTCACAGCCTGGAATTTAAGATCAAAGGGCAGCACTAACTCATCAATGCCTTTACCTCTTCCCCACAGCAACGGATAAAGTGCTCAATAACCAGCACGCATTACCATCAGCCTGTCTGCCCCGACGCCACACCACCCACCGGCAGAGGAGGGGAAAAAAAAAAACAGAAACAGCAAATCTAGTCTTGTCCACAGTCATTTTCCTGAGCAGCCAGCGTGAAGCCAGGGCGGTTCAGGAAGATCCCGGCAACCCAGAAAGTCAGTACCGAGCCTGTCTGCTTTCTCATCTTGCTTGCCAAGGTGACAATCTTTTATTTTAGATGAAACCACCCCGTCTGTTTGACCGGGAGTGTGAACGTCCACTGGCACGAGCGACAAAAACGTTATCGCTCAGGAGTCGGCGAGCAGCGGCAGGAAGGAGGTGCACCGGCTGTAGAGATGCTGTCGAGCCCTCGGGCTGAAACAGCACTCCGCAGCGCGAGCAGAGATAGCTTATCTGTGAGTGGCCAAAGGTGATCGAAAGCAGTGTGTGGGCAACAACACTCCGACTGGGCTGCTGATCACTTGCTAGGGCATCCACAACCAACATCAATCCATTCAGCGAGTAAACTAAGAGAATGATTAATGTTTTTTCTCGTTTTTTATGAAAGACCAGATGAGTCATGCGCTAAAAGAATCACGAGATAAAGATTTTCACATCACACCACAGCGGTGCTTTGCAGGCAGCGGCTCCTGCCTACAGCTCCCAAATAATAAGAGAAACCAATCTCACCCGTGCAGCTCCTTGAGAGAAACCGAGATCTTGAGGTTGTGCCCGAGCACATGGAGGGCGGTGAGGATGTCGGCCCATTGCACCATCTCACCCAGAGGGCCTCCCTTCAGCACCTTAGGACTGAACACATCCCCAGACTCCTCAGTCAGAAAGCCTACGTGGACAAGAATCTGAAAGCAGACGGACAAAGAGAAGAGCCAAGGAGAGAGTAGACCGAAGTGAGTAAATGCAGCGTATGTGGTTTTGTTAAAGTGTTTCAGCTGTAAAAAAAAAAAAAAAAAAGAAAAAAAAAAAAAAAAGATTTTTCCCTCAGTTTTTGACTTTTCAATTGAAAAAATCTCAATGACAGAGTTTGTGAGAGTTGCTTCAATGTTGAATAAATTCAGATGTTCCCAGCACTGCAGCTTTGTTTCGGGTCACGTTTTGCATATTAAAAAAAAAAAAAAAAAAAAAGGTTTTTCCTTCAGTTTTTGACTTTTCAATTGTAAAAATCTCAATGACAGAGTTTGTGAGAGTTGCTTCAATGTTGAATAAATTCAGATGTTTGGAACGGATCAGCGATGCCACGTTTCGTACAGAACTGAGCATCTAACAAATGTGAAACAAAATCAGACTGACAGCACATTCGCAACTCCCAGAAAGTACAATCAACTGTGCATTAAGTTGAAATGAAAATTGACCTGTGGAGGGCTAATTGATATGCAGAACGATACACGAGCAGTTTAATTGCTGATGGGGAAGGATAGAATTCCCAGGCTGTTAAATAAGTAATGAAATTAGATTTTTCAACAGATGGCGGCATTTAATTTTTTTTTATTATTATTATTTTTTTATATTCCTCGATTACACTTGTCCTGAAAAACCTTTTTACAAGACAAGCCTATTCATCTACAAGTACACACATATCTGCACTTATCTAAATGGAGCTGTTTCAATTTGCATATTTGTTTAACATCTCCTGAACTGCTGACACAAAATTGTTGAAAATGAGCCACACATGTCAGAAATCGGTGCGACGACAACTGGCCGGGCAAAAATGTGAGTTTGGTGTGAGGAAGAGAAGGAAAAGTTGTGCACACATGTTGAAAAGGTGAAGACTGGAGAAGTAAAAAGTCCCCGTAATTGTCATGCTGTAACTTTATCATCACAATTTCATTACTAGCAGAAAGGAAAACAGGTTCTTTGAAGAAAAAGGCTCATTTTCCTCCCAGCAGCTGCTAAGTTGAGCTCAGGTCTTCGTACCGTTGCGGTCTGTTCCCCCCTTCAAACTGTTTTCCTTCCCTCCTGTTAAAATGATGTTTCCTATAGTGTCCCTGCGTCTCTATTTCTGTTTTCTCAACAGCACTCTGCGTTTCAGCGACGGAAGCCAAGGCTGCAGGCTCTGGTTAATGGACAGTAACCATTACTGTCAAACACCCCATTACAGTAAACACAGCCCCCTCCCCAGTGGGGATGAAGCAGGCATTTGGGGTGAACGTAATGCTATTAACAGAACAGACTAAGATTTATTTAGCCGAAAAGTGGCCGATGAAAGAAGCTCAGAGAACGGACTGCCAGGAGACTGTCAGCTCATTTACAAAGACCAAAAACTCTACAAATTAATTTCCTTCATTCCGCACGTTTCATTAAAGTGGAGAATTAAACCTCTTTTCTAGCTAAGCAGTGATTTGAAAGGAGCCGTCTGCATATTGTGAATAAAAACCGAGATCCATGACACAATAACAGCACAATGAGAAGCAAAATCTACATATGACTCTGTGCTCTATTAATATAAATGTGCTGTAGCGTCATGTACACGGCGTGCATGTGAATGTGTAATAGATGAATGGAGCTTCGGGCGAAAGAAACATGGAACCTCCTTTTGCATTTCTAATTAACTGTATGTAAATGATGCGGTTACAGTATGTTTCTCCATGCAGTGCAGGTGTGTTGAGAAGACAATATGTTCTCATTACAATGCTCCTGGTGACATAAGAATTAAACAAGAATGTAAAAAAGAGGGAATAAAAGATGACGTAGGAAAACAAACAGGAAAAAAATCAGGTATTCTAAAGCAAGAGTAAAGCGAACAGTGCTGTGTGCATCTCCAAAGAAATGACCAGAATCGATCGCATTAGTGTTAATATTGGATTTTATAAAGAGCAGAGTTTATTTTTCTGTTTTGTTCTGCAGGTGATGTTGATGTATTTCATGTCTGAAGTTGCTCATCATATGTATTATCTCTCCCAACAACTGTACTGTTTAAAACCAGGTTATCTTTACTGCCGTGTTCTGGACCAGAAAAAAAAAAAAGAAAAATTTTAAAAAGCAGCCTAAGGCACAGGAGTCTGCCGGGACCCCACAGGGCTGCAACGGAAGTTTCAACATCACTGCGTCATCAATGCATGAAATAAGCGCAGGAATACCTTTGTAACCCAAATGTAAGTGCAGCTGGAGATGGCTCTGTGCATCCTGTGGGTGTTCTGCATGTATTTTCATAGGATTGCTGACAAAAATCTAATATGTAATTGCAAAATTGCCCACCTTACAGACCTCATTAACATGTCCATATGGTGTTTTGTTATATGCTAGAAGGCAGAACATGAGCAGTCAATACCACGGCGAGCTGCAGTGCATCTATAGCGGTCTTAGAAAGTATTAATGAAGCACCAATCATGTTAACTTGAAAGGAGTGGTGATGTAGAGCTACATCTGAGCCACTTTTTAAAGATAGTAGGAGATTATTTTCATGGGAAAACAACTTCATATACCTCAAAAATGCAACTCTAAGGGGGTACATCAACAACTGGAGAGGGCTGCGTGCAAAATATTCTCAGGGTTAATTTATTAGAAGCTCTGCAATCTTGCAAAGGTTTAATACATATAAGCCTGGAAAGATCTAATGTCACTGCTTTTTCATCAGACATCTGTTCCAGCAGGCAAAGCTCTTTGACACTTGGTGGAAATGTCCCCCGTAAATGTCAGTGGTGAAAGTGCACTAAAGCATATCAATGCCTGCCAGGAGTTACTCTCCGTCATTATCTGCTTACGCCTGTTGCTCAGCATAGTGCGATTCACACCAAGCAGCCAAAGATAAAAGAAAAAAACATTGGTGCAACAAGAATGTCACGGCTGTTCTGGTAGCTTAGTAGCCTGGCATGTGGGCACCGAGGAACTGCGGCTTTCTCATAAATGTTAGATCCAAAACATTTTGTGTTCAGAGATGTAGAAAAATAAAAAATAAAAAAATAATTTTAACACCAAACCAGATGGTTTTACCAAAAATTAGGAGCTGAGAAATATGTTTCCAGAGTTACAGACAAAGGGAAAAAAGGAGCATCTGCTACTTGGTTTTAAAAAAAAAAACACCTAATACAGATTCTTCACCTGCAGTATGTTGCAACCACAACACTTTGAAAAGATGAAGCGCGCACAAGCGTACAAAAACTCCCCATATTCACCCTTTTTTGCTCTCTCCAGTGGCTACGGAGCTTGTCATCCAGGCGGCGGGCGGCAGAAGCCCACTGCGCTGCCAGCCTGCGAATGCGTCTCTTCATGAAGCTCAGAGACTCTTTCCCGGTGCCCACTTGTTCCAGCAGAGTCCCGATGTCAGACTGGAAGACAGCCTGGATGACAAGAGCATAGAAAATCAGCAGAGAACCTCTGAAATGTGTGTTTCAGTGAGATAATCTGAAGATCGGTGCAGAGATTCTAAAACAGAAAATACTCAAGAAGAGGCTGAGATTTCTAATTTGAAGCAGAAGCACTAGAAAAAACTAAATCTGTTTTCTGCAAGTTGACATATTTTCATTGGTGGTGGTGGTGGTGGTGGTGGTTTGGACTGTACGGAGCACCGACAGCCTGTCATATCTTGTTATCTGCTCGCACCCTGGGGCGAGGCCTCTGAGACAGGTCGCCTGAGGGATTCTTGGATTTTCCTCACATATACAGTCTTCTCTCATTTTGCTTCTCCTCCCTTGCCCACTCTAATCAAACCGTCACAGCGCCAGTACGCGATTATTAACCCGTGGAGAAACCACACAGAGGCCGCTCAAACCATCTCTCTCGAACAAAAGACGCCAAATTCTCTCGAGGACTAAATCAATATGCACGGCCGTACTGTACCCCTCACAATGCAGGTGGATTACTGCTCTCAAGAGAAACTTGTGTACGCCGCGGAAAGATGCAGAGTGGCGAAGGGGAGCTCTCGGATTAGTCCTCGTGAATACAGGCTGGCAATTAGAGCAGAAGGCAGAGCCGCGGAAAGCATTCACGTCAGGGCCCATCATGCCGGCTGTACGTTACTCTGGGGAGAAAGCGGGGCGAGCGGCGGGTGTAGACCTCGCGCAGTGATTGTAAGCTCGTGTGTTGATGCCAAAAATAAATAAATAACAAACAAGGCAGGGAAGCAAACAGCAATGAAAATGGGGAGTGACAGCTAGCACCCTGTGAGGGATAATGTACAGCTGGGGATTCGGAGTCATCAGCAACAACGGTCAGGAAATCCCTTGAACTTCAAAGCAATGTGTGGCATCAGCCAGGGACTGTATATGAAATATGGACGTAGCCTCTGGGGATCTGAACAGCTGAAGTGCCTCTATCCTTCATTCTTTCTAACAGCCAGCCAGGGATGATGCCCCTGGCTGCAAAAAGAAGTCAGCTTATATGGAAGTTTATGAGAAAAGGGCCCTACTTCTAACTTGATTTGTTACCACGGTAAACGTTTTCTTAATGAGTTTATGGTCTCAACTGGAAGTTTTGAGTCTCATCTAATATGATACGATGCTTATTTTGTAAACTATGGTTCCATTCAGAGTAAGATAGAAGATAAAGAAGGATGTGATTGAGGGCGGGGCTACCTTGTGATTGACAGGTTTCTACTCTATCGATCAAGGTTGGAAAAAAAAAAAGAAGCTACCTAAATTTCAAATTCAAGGATTTAAAACATAAGTTAAAAAAAAAAAAAACAGTGGGTGACGTAACAGTCGCAACATCCAATGTTCATGTCACTCGAACTTTCCAATAATCTCTAGAATCTACATGGGTGTCATATTTGCCCCTTAATGCAGTAGCAGTGAGGTTGCTCATTTTCATCTATTTTTTAAAAGAAGATCTGCTAAAAAAAAAAAAAAGGATTTAACATTCTGTCTATTAATTTTACAGCTGCTTTTGGCTGTCTCATTACAGATCAGAACAGTCAAATCTATTTTCAAATTCACAGCTAAACCGAGGCGCAGACAAACAAACAACAAAATAATTAATGCAGCTGAATCATTTGATTAATGTAGAAGACGACCATTAAGTAAACATTAAAAACGAATTATGGATAATGACCTATTTTAGTCATACCACAGGGAATTCAGAAAAGGAGTGCTCATTATTAATTTTGTTTTGGGGTATTTTTTTAAGCCTACAGGTGGAACAGGTTAAACATTTTTAGTGACAAATGAGAGGTTCAATGCCAAAGTGGGCCAAACCACCAAAAATCCAAAGTTGAGTTTAGGTACAGTGAGGTCAAATAACATCTTAAACAACCACCACCGGGCATCTATTTCTACTCCATGGTTCTTGAAAGTATTTCTAGTTCCTTATGATGTAAACTCTTCAGTGCTGTTTAGCAAGACAAACCTTGAATCAGTTTTTTTTTCCTCAAAAAGTAGAAAATGTGGTATGGCCCGCTTTGGCACTCAGCAACAGGAAAGGCAAAATTAAAACCTATATCATCAAGGAGTAGCTGTTTCTATCTGGACAGTGTTGAAGCATCTTTGGATGCATCCTCCAACAACCATGATTTTTTTATTTTTTTTTTAGGAACACAAAAGTTTGACCCCATTTTTCTCTAAAACTAGTAAATGTGATTTGACATACTTTGGAAATAACCACCTCTAATGTATCAAGGTTGTCCAATCAATCTTCCTACATACATCTTGTAATTAAGACTCCTACAAACATTCAGCTTTTCCAGACTGTAGTTCCTGCTCATAATAACTCCTCTGGCCCCCGTCTCCAGCTCTGGACCCCCAACCAGCTCAGCTTCGGTTCCCACACTTTGGACTTTTCTGCCGGGCTCAGCTGAGGTTTAACGCCTGCAGTGCACAGACAGTCACCGGCCCGGTTCTTCAACATTCAATCATCCACTCTGCCCCGCTCTTCCACAGCTCAATATCCCTTCCCCTTCAAGCCTGCGATAAATATTTATCTTTTATCACACTCCAGTGTCCTTGCTTCTCCACCTCTATCAAATCTAGTTGCTCAGGCTCGTGATAAGTTAGCCTGCTTATCAAAAGAAGTCTACACAATAGGCGCTGTATTATTCAGCAATTTCTAGAAAGAGTAAAAAATGAGCCCTTTTGTGGTCTGAGGTTTAAAATATGATTTCTTTTCTCCTTTTGCATCCCACACCCCACATGATTAATCAACTCGGTTAAGGAAAGACCCTGAATTGATAGATGTAGGAGGTTTTATTTTACATGCGTTTGAAAATCCAAAGGAGATAATATTGATGTTATACAGTCTACAGTCTTAACATTCCACTCAGTTTTTTTTTTTCCATTTTCATAAATTTTCTTCCCAATTTGGTCAGAGATCATTTCAGATTTCTACCACAGTCCTTGTCACAGCTCAGAGACTGACACCTCTCCTGGCATTTGGAGAGTGCACATTACCACCTCGCTAGACATCGACTGGTTCGTTTCGCCTGCCAGGAAAGATTTTAACCCAGAAAGCGCCACAGTTTCTCTCCTGATCTACTCCTCCATCGCAAGAGCATGAAAACAAACTAGCAAGATTCTCTAGTTTTGCAATAAGGTCACGGCTCCCCTGTGAGACTCCCACAGGAGGAAAGGTAACAGCCGCTTCTTTGTGTTTGTGCTTTCCAGGGATTGGATTAATGTCCTCTGCAGCGGTGGGCAAATGTTTTGACTCTCCATCGCTCTGTTTCCCTCTGCTCTGGTCCTGTTTCTCCCCTTCAGTTAACTGTGTTATGGTGGCTTTAACAATGAATAACGGAAATATTCTGTTACCTGTTTCTTGGGGGGAGGTCTCAAGGTGGGTGTTGCGGTCTGGTTCCTCCAGGGGAGCGGGGGGCAGAACCACTCCACCTCGCTCAGGTAGATGAGGAAGGAGCAGTCGGACCCATCGACACCGTAATAGGCATAGCAAGGGTCCGATGTCCAGCGAGCTCGCATCCACTGGAAGACAAAGACCAAGTTCAATTTTCAGTTCAATTCAGTTTTACTTATATAGTGCAATTTACAACATATGTCATCTCATGGTGCTTAATGTACGAAGGTGAAGCCCTTGTGAATTTGAACAGAGAACCCAACAATCCAAAGTTGCCTTTAGACTTCATCTGAGCAAGCGGTCGGCAACAGTGAGAAGGAACCAAAAAAAAACCCAGATAGGAAGGAGGGAAAAAAAACCCTCTGACCTAGTTCATTGCTGGTGCTAGTGCCAGTGCTTAGTTGGTTCAAATGTCACACCTCCTAGGAACCTGTTTGCTTTGTACTGGCACAGAGCCAAGCTTGAGCCACGTCATTGAATCGCTGTCAAACGTCAATACGTCACTGCATACGTAGCCTTTTACCGAACAACGCACACGCCATATGGAAGTCCACACAGGACTCCAGACTAACTTTTTTTTAACAGTATGACCAACTTTCTCATTTGGTCACATTTCCCACCTTGTCACAGACAGAACATATCAGTTGTTGAACATTTTCTTATCGATAGACAATACAACTTGTTCTCTGAACGCCCCACATTGCAGGCTGTGGTAGCTGCTGTTGGTGGCTGTGGTGCTGGGATAGGTGTGCGACTAAAACTTACTTTAACAGGAGTAAACTAGGGCGTTCTAATGTCAGATTTGTCCAAGACCATGATTTTTTTCTCATGTTTTTTTGTTTTGAGCGGAAAAAAGAGTGCATGTAGACGCGCTCTGTATTTTACGAGAGGACCACATTTTTAGCGTAAATACCGCAGTACACCAAAGTTATGGAAGCACTGTTTTACACCCCTTGGGTGCTACTGGGGGGCTGCAGGGTGGCGCAGTTGGTAGCACTGTTGCCTCGCAGCAAGAAGGTTGCCGGTTCGCGTCCCGTTGGGGGCACCGGAATCTTTCTGCGTGGAGTTTGCATGTTCTCCCCTTGCAGTGTGGGTTCTCTCCGGGTTCTCTGGCTTCCTCCCACACAGTCCAAAAACATGTTGAGGTTAATTGGTGATTCTAAATTGTCCGCAGGTGTGAATGTGAGTGTGCTTGGTTGTCTGTCTCTAAGTGTAGCTCTGCGATGGACTGGTGACCTGTCCTGGACAGGGTGTCCCCTGCCTTCGCCCTAAGTCGGCTGGGATAGGCTCCAGCCCCCCCGCGACGCTAGTGAGGATTAAGCGGTGTATAGATGATGGATGGATAATGGATGGGTGCTACTGGTGGGACACCGTTGTAACGGATTTCAGCACGCAACAGTTCTGTGTGTCCCGGGAGTCATTCCAATACATCTGCGATTGGACCAGGGACGGCGAAAAACGACACAAATTACCGCTTGTGTGTCCAGTTCTGTGTTTCTATTGGTCTCGCTGGTCACAATAACCCCGCCCCCAGCCCCTGATGTACTTGGTTCTTAGCTCTGGCCCAGCAAAGAGTTGGTGCTTGCTAAGGACCAGTTTTGAGAGCCTGGAGCCGGTGCTTAGGTGGTGGAAACGCAAAGAACTGGTGCTAAGTCAGGCTTTGGCTCCGCATTAGCACTGGAACCAGCTCGGTGGAAAAGGGGTATGACAGAACCAGGTTCAAGGAAGGCGGCCATCTGCCTCAGCCAGTTGAGGTGAGAGTGGGGATGGTGGGGGTGGGGGATAGCAGGAGGAGTTGGGGTGGGGATGGTAGGATAGCAGATGGAGAGCAGCAATACAAACAGAACAATAAATACATTTTTGGTCTTTTCTAACGACTGCCGCAGCATTATTTACTTTCACATTTTGACTTCATGTTCCACTTTGATGCCACTTCCAAGTTTAATGAGTCTAATGGCTCCTTTAAGGCAGGATTCTGCACTCTGAGAAACTGCTGCGTGAACTTTGTGAACAGGAATTTCTTTATTGCCTTCTCGAAGAAAATGCCAGCAGACTGATTTTGTTTTTAAAGTTCAGGGCACCAACATTTTTCCTGTGCTCCGCTCTGTTTTTCTGAGGCAGGTTGCAGTTATTGAAGTGAACCAAACTCCATCCCGGGCAACATGTCCCGCTCTCTTTTGTGGAGAGATAATGCATGATTCATTTTACTCCCGCGAGGTAGGATGTCTTCTGTTTTCTGCTGACAGAACCTCAGCTGTCTTTTGTTCAAAATATCCCCAGACTATGAAGTTATCCTGGAGCAGAAAACCTGTACAGACCACAGAAACTAGGACTGTCTTGAACCTGTACATATTCTATATTTATTCAGATTTTATTTATTTATACTTTACCAGAAAAAAAGTTGTGTTGACATTAAGAATCTATTTAAAACAGTGTCTTGTCAGAGAAGTTATTAAATAAGGATTACCTAAAGATTAAAAGTGCATTAGAGTATCATAAAAACAAAAAAATATAAATCACAAGTAGCACGGGCAACTAATTTACAGCAAACAGTGCAACATACAGTACTTAGACACCCTTTACTCCATTCCAGGACAAGTTCCTGTACTTTTTAAATGACACTGATCCATAGATATGAAGGAAGCAGACCGGGAACAGCTTAATAAACAGTAGCACACCAGTGATCGAGTCTACAACTGAACAAGGCAGACCATGAAACTTGGCCATATAACATGCAATGGTGAGCAAGAGATTTAGGACTGGTAATAAACCTCAGCTCTACGTGTCTGTCTTGCGATGCTTACAAGCATTGTGCATGTAAGGGCGTCGCTATAGTCCAGCACTGGAATAAAAGTGGTGTCATCGAGACCTTAAAAGATAGAAAAGACTTGATTCTGAAATATAAACCTAATTTCAAACTACCATAATTTCCGGACTGTAAGCCGCAACTTTTTTCACATGCTTTGAACACTGCGGCTTAAACAATGATGCGGCTAATTTATGGATTTTTACGATTTTTAGAAATTTGCCTCGAGACGAAAGTGACATTGAGAGCAACAACGACAGAGAGACTGAGGAAGTGTGTGACGAAGTACTTCTAAGGCTGTTCAATTCCAACACTGAGGAAGACAACTTTCGTGGTTTTAGTGCGCAGGAGGAAGATGAAGACAGTGATCAATGACTTTTCTTGGTAGGCTGCTGGAGTTTTTATTTTCTCAATCAGCCGTGTTACAGGCACTGCTCTGAAAAAAGCATTTACGGTATGGATTTGTGTACGTTACCGGTACGCATTTAATTAAAAGTTAAAAAAATCTTTCTGTGTAAATATCTCATGTTACAACGTGGACACCTGCGGCTTATAGACAAGTGCAGCCTATACATGTACAATTTTCTTTTTCTTTTGTTGTGTATAAATATATTATACAATGTGTGAAGTATAGTCCTTAAGGTTTAAAATATAAAAGAAGTTATATATATGCACATAATCATGAAACGTCTCCTTTTGGAGAAGTGGCTTGGGTCTTTTCCTTATATGGTTTTACAGGACTAGCAACAGATGGAGAAAAAGAAGTCCACACAAGGATGCAACTACTCAGTGTGATGAAGATGGGCCCTAATCAATTGTTTTGCGAAATGACCATGCATCATATGACTTTGCAGTATAAAGAGGGGTCAGAGGGAAAGGGAAGTGGTCTTGCTCTGTCTGATGCTAGGGAGAGTTTGATCCAGAGCTCTGTAATGCAATATTCAATGTGTGATTAAATTGATTGACTGAGACCGAGCTGAATCTTATCTCATCTTTAGAAACGAACACGCAGAGAAAGTTTCTCCAACACTTTCTAAAGTTAGCTTATATTCAGCTGCACGCAATAGTCCGAAAATTGCAGTAGGTTTGTTGTGTTGTTGTCATTTTTTAACCAATTACTGGATGTGAGAGTCATCGAACACAGCTCCTAGATATTTACATTGGTAGTGACAAAAGTAGATACAACTTGTGACACATGGATTGTTGAGTGGCTTTGATTTTGTGCTTAGAGTACATTTATTATTTTGTCTTTTGTCTCATGTCTTTCTGTACATATAATACCTCTGTATACATGTGTGGGAGACGCCGTAACTACAGAAATCTATTGAACAAACAGTGCATGTTTGCAGACATGTTACTAAAAAGCGCCCCTTGGACAAGCTGTAATTCTGCTCATAATATATGCTTCTTTTCTTTGGTTCCTGCTGGTGTTATGTCACTAAACCTGTTTTAATACAGTGTGTGCTTACAAAGCTGTATTTTCTTCATAACTCTTCCCTTTGCTGCCAGCTCGAATAATTTGTTGCTCTGAGAAACCAGCTCTCCACGAGGAGCCTTTAAAAACAGTCTCTTATCTTATTATACAAAATATATGTTGCACTTGCACCAAGGTGAGTCACCAGCAGACGACAAAGGGATGGCTGTTTCTGTGTGTGGGATAGTTCGTACTTCAGTGAGATATGAAGACTTACATCCATCTTGCTGGGACAGTCCGGATAGCGGGGATCTTTGGGAATCTCACACTGTCCAAAGGCGCCGTCCCGAACTGGAGGAAAGGGAAAATGCAGCGTATTTATCAAAGCCTAAACACGCTCACAAAAGGCCACACTCATCAGACAGCAGTATTAATCACCGAAAAAAACAAACCGACTCGATTACTGGACTTTTTTTCACATGGACGCGAAAGTCAAACACAAGGAGGAAGGTTAGATAAACATGCTGAGAAGGTACATCCAAGACATCTGCTGTTTTTACATCTTAGGTCAGCGCTAACTGCATTTATTTTGCATTTCCGTCATAAATACCGTTTTAATTTATTTATTATCTCGAAACTCTGTCAGTACACCAGATAGTACAATACATATAACCTAGCATCACAAAACCCAACTCCATAAAATTGATATACATGTAGGTATGAATGGAATTATCACCAGCTCTGCACCTCCCAAATGGTCTTAAGACTGTGTGCTTATTACTGGTCTGCAGTCTTTACTCTGCTTCCCCTGAGCATCAAATCTGTTTGTATTTTGCATTACACTATATATCCTCCAGCCTTCGGGCTGAACAGAGAATAAATTAGAGAGTACAGCAAGATAACAAGCTCCTATAAAAGCTTGGTTTCCCCCACTGAACGGCCACATCTCTGTTCCAGCCCACTCACTGGATTTACTATAGATAGACTGCATTAGTGTGATTCATAAAAATCATAATCTTCCCCCTTTTTCTTGCTTCCCTTCTCCTCTCTTCACATCTCCTTCTGTTGCTCAACTGACTCTCTGTCTTTCTCTCTCCTTCCTTGTCTTTCTCTGCCTCTCCTCTCCTTTTCCCTTCTTTTCTTCTTCCCGACACCAGTAAAGCCTAATTAACGGAGCGGTTGCAGCTCCTCCAGCAGCATCCTGCCGAGCGTCGGAGAGCACAATCACAGACAAATAATTGCAAGCCATTCCGTCTGATTAGCATGATAACGGCAGACCTCTCACGATGAAAAGTGCCACTGCCTGCCACCGTCAAAAAAAAAAACTCAGCCAGGTTCAGATGCCGCTTTATTGAAATGATATCAGACATTATGACAACAGACAAATTATCTGACATTTTTTAATGCGGCAGTGCGTTGAGTTGTTTTCAGTCAAGTGCGCGGCGGGGATACAGAGGAGGGATTGAGCTGTGAGTTAAATCACACTGTCTGATTTCTATTTCCAATAAAGTAAGTGAGAAAGAAGGCTAATAAAGAAAAGCTGACAGACCCGGATCTCATTAACAAGGCAGTAATTCATCAGCGTGATTTAAACGTCCTGCAGTTGTGCGGTTATGATATGGCGGCACGCTGCTGCTGCGGCGCACGGCAGCTCCTCCACCAAACAGTAGCTTGCTATTTGAATGGGTAATGTTCCGTAAATAATGTCTGTCATGTTCTATATGATCAACCAGCGAGCGCGTGTTGGACATAAATTGTGCATTCGGGTGTTCAACAGGATCCAGGCTTGACAGATGGGTTTGCAGTATGTGGGCTGAGAGGAAAAGTGTCCTCGGATTGGATGGATTTCAGACGGACAGGGAGATTCATCAGTTATATTCAGTATGTATGAGTGGGCTGTGTGTTGTTGGTTTTTTTTTACTTTTAAATCGTACCTTTGTTGCCGGCCATGCTGCGCTGTAGGATCTGCTCCACCCTCACCGCCATGTCAGACATGTTCTGGGCTATGGCCTGGATCCGCTCCACCAGCCCCACAGGCTGAATCCTGGTGGTGCACAAACACACACAAAAAAAAACATCTTCTGATGATCAAAATTCTCTTTAAACTGGATCTTCAAAAGAAAGAGGACACTATATTTCTTCCGTGGCGTCCTTCCATCCAGCAGGATTTGTCGTCTTCACAGTCAGCGTGAATTATTTGGAAAGAAATGCTAATTATCTAGAACTTGAGGCGTGAAATCGAAAAAGCTTTTAAACACTGACAGATAATTTATTTGTTGAGATAATAAAGTAACTCGGCATATTAAAGCGGGTCCGCTGGGGAAATAATACCACAAGACAATTAGGTTGTTGGCTAATGCGTTTCCCCGCATTTGACCTCTGTGGCCTAAAAGTATGGGGGGGTGATATCGTGTCATTGTTCAGAAAACTTATTTAAAAAGCACAAAAAACACACAAAAGACTGAAACTGCATTTAAAAAAATAAATGTAATCTCCTAAAACAATATTTTTAATTAGAGTTTTCTTTTTTATTCAGTTTATCTCCAACACATTGTCACAGTTTCAGATTTGTTTCGGTTTTCTTGGTGTATTGTGATCTGGAAGCCTTTGAGGAAAAAGTAGAAATTTCGAAAGAGAAAATCATTATTTTGAAACTTGTGTGGGTTTAAATTTGTACTCGTAATGAAAACTGTTCTTTCGGAGCTGTGGTCACAACACCTGCTTTTTAGAGATCTTCTTACACATTCACAAGCTCACGAATCTCATGATTTCTGGCAGACTTGGCTCGCAGCTTTTGTCTGAACGTCGAAAAAAGATAAATCTACAATGTTTGCTCTCTGCTGAAGTACAATCCAATCAATGTTGTATTTAACAGGTTAGGTAGGACTGACAGACTGACCACTAACGACTAATGCGCACAGCATACGCCAACAGGAAACCGCTTTTGTTCTTTGTGCTTTATTTCGGCCTATCAAAGCATTATGCAAACCTTCAAAGCTTAGTTTAAATCTTGAAAAATCTGGACTGTGCAATGTCTATCCAACACAAACGCTGTTGGTCAGATAATGAGAAACCACTATTTACAGTTGAGATGGAGATGTGGTGGATGAAACAAAGAGAATAAAGAGGGAAGAAGGGTTTGAAATGTACATTACAGTACAGTCTTACACAATATCTCAAATAAGACAAGACATACACAGACACGGCAACTACTGTATATGCAGCCTCACTTGCTGTATGAAAGGCAACCACCGGCAGAGGAGACGTCTTATCAAAGTTTTTTAACAAGTGTACAATAGATTTTCAAAGGAAAGAAGCCCAATGCTTTAACAATCGTTAACCCCAAAGCTTACTACAGATACTTTCATTAATTGTTAAAGGGATTTTTGCAATAAATTATAGAATATTCTTGAAAAAAAAAACAATGTTTTGCCTCAGCTAGACAGACAGACAGACAGACAGACAGACAGACAGATGGATAGATAGAACTTTATTGATCCCTTAAGGTGCTGCAAGGTGGTGCAGTTGGTAGCACTGTTGCCTCGCAGCAAGAAGGTCGCCAGTTCGCGTCCGAATCTTTCTGTGTGGAATTTGTAAAGTACAAGTATCTTAAATGTGTAATTAAGTACAGAACTAGAGTATGTGTACCATAGTTGTAACTCGCTCACTGTTCCAGGGTCAGTGCTGTTGACATCAGCTGACAAACTGCGATACATCATTACTAAGAATAAAAGTGCTAGACTGAAACCAACTAAAATAATGTTGATTCATAAGAATGTTAGATTTCTATTTCTTATCTCATGGGCTATTTGGGTTTTTGCGGTGCTGCATATATAGTGTTCATTTATAAGAAAAAACATTGCAGCATTCGAACACTGATTTGGAAAGCAATTACCATGGCAATAGGACGCTTCGATCCCACTGATGATATGGAGACTTTTATTTTATTTCATTTCCATTTTTATATGAGTTCATTTAACCTGGAATTTGTTTTCTTTTATTATTATTATGCCATGGTTTCCTATGCATAGTTTATAGGCACTTTCCAAGTAAGATATGTGTTATGCTTTAAAAGACAAACTATAGTCATCACATAATTTTCAAACTTTATGTGCTGCAATTACCAGATTTGCTTTGCAGGAAGTATTCTGCAAGAGGAAAGCTTGTAAATACTTAATGTTTGCAGCTGCTGGTGAATCCCATTAAACTAGTGGGAGGCTGTCCTTGCAGTGTGATCGCTGTCTACACAGCTCAACGCGCATTCAGACACACTTTATAGCGTCCAACATGCAACAACTAAAGAGAAAAGTAAATCCCGAGCTCAAACTTCTGCACAGCAGCACGTGACCTTAATGACGGAGTCCTCCTGTGTTTTAATCAACCAGCGTTCATTGGTGGAACCACTGTTTTGCAGTGTATCATTGCTGTTTTACATGACATTTAAATGAATTATTTTAATGAGCAGTCTGGTTGTGTAGTAGACTTTCTGGAATTTATATTGCTCATTAAATAGCTCGGAATATGTAAATCTGGGAAACTTGCGAAAACAAATGGAACAGTGGTTCAGAGCCGTATGCAGATCAAGAAGCAATTGATTTCATTGAGGCAGCATTTATTATTGTGTGCGTGTGTTTTCGTGCATGCGTGTGCGTGTCAAGGGAAAAGCAATCTAACCGTGCTTATGTGCATAAGTTAACATAATCCTAAAGCCCAATTTCATTCCACTTCATTCTACGCGATTCCCAGGAGGCGAATGGTAGTAACATCTTCTTCTATCAATTAAATTGCTGCTGGTCAGCACAAATTATACAGTATAGTCAAGTAATCACACACACACACACACACACACACACACACACACAAAAGTAAAGAAGCTGTCACTTGTGCAGACACACATCGGTTGCCTCGTGCAGAATCATCCCATCTTTATACTGCTGGGAGAGGAGAAGCTACCCGCTGCCGAAGAGCAAGAGGACAACTTAATTACTTTATCGACATTATACCAGGTGGGCAAAGTTTTCCCTGCACGAAGATCTCACACTAATCGCTCAGGTCAACCCTCGCCTTGAGCCACACAGAGTTTTTTTATTTTTTTTTTTAATCCAAAGTGAGGTAGAATGAAGCCAAGAAATATTCACAAGCCATATATTTTAACTACCAAGTTGAGCCTAAAACTATTTGGCCTTTGTCACCGTAACATTTCCAGTTTATTCCCTGAGAGGCCAATTAAATGATTGTTAGAACGATGTGACTGAGAGTATATCCACAGGGCATTCTGCAGAGAAAATTAAATTGTAAGTGTAATATCAAACTGCCGATAGAAATAATAATATGCAGGATTTTGGCCGGAGTACAACACATATTTTCCCTGAGGCTTCTGAGAGGCAGGGGTTAGGTCGGGTCAGGTGTTGTACTTCTGTCATTGTTCATTATTTGCAGTCAGCAGCAGTTACACAGTCTCAGACATACTGTGAATTGCAAATGCTACTACAATATCTCTTCGTATATTACCCGATGTGCTTATATTATGGTGTGCAATGCTGCAGGCTCCCTTTGAAGTGGATTTCAGAGGAGACGTTTCCTGGCTGTGAGGAAGAGGGAGGTGATGTCCGGGAGGGTAACTAACAGCAAAGGCACAATCAGGAGGGAGCTTCCTCCCCTTAAACCTCTGGGTAGGTGCAGGCATGAGAAAAGGTCTGTTTCCAAGGAAACCACAGAGCACACAACTCTGGGCTGGCTGCTTCAACTTGTCCAGCAAGACACCTGCTATTCCGTTTTTTATATGACAGTCTCTTTCATTTTTCCAGCTGCCCAGGGACGGAGGGGGATGGGGTTTGTTCTAACACATATCTTCTTCAGCACCAGGCGATTTTCACGGCGTGCAGCTGCTCCAGTGGCGTGCTCCAGGGCTCCACACTTGGCCCTCTACCTTTTTCTTCACGCCATATCTCTCAGGTCCACTTCAGCCTCCATGCTTTTATCTTGCAATTACTTATGCCAATGAATTTCACCTTTGGCACACAGGTGAAGCTGGAGAAGTAGAGAGAATGTTCCGCAGACCACCTCGAATTCAGCCTTGACAGTTTCGAGCTTCTGTTCCTTCCCAGCGTAACTCAGTATCTCCCTATTAACACTGTAATAAACCGCCTCCAACACTAGAGAAGTCAGACGTTTAACTTTTTTTGGCAGCAAAACTGAAATTTTTCCATTTATCTCGTAACAAAAGCCAAGAAGATGCCTATTATTGGATCACATGTACAAGTTGTAGCATCGAAATATTGTCATTGAACATGATTTATTATAGATTTCAGTGATGTTTCAGAAATCGACATCAACAGTAGCTATTTTAGATACATATGAAATAACCATTTAAATGGCGTTGGACACCGCTGGTCATAGATTCCGTTACTATGAATAGTTAAGCGAGTAAAAGATTAGCTAATTCCCAAAAGGCATAAAGTTATAGTTTAAGCATTCTTTTTAATATTACAAGCAAGACGAGTGTATTATTATTATTATTATTATTTTATTTCTTTTTAAGTTTAAAGTGAAAAAAAAGAATCACTACGAACAAGTTTGGACACTTCAAGAGATTCTAGCGATGACCAGATAACTTTTATAATATTTAAATTAGCTTGATGGGGTTATGGCTTGTTTATGATCATCACTGGGAAGCAAAATAAAAACAATCAGCAGCCGTGGGCTCCTCTCAGCAGCTGCCAAGCACTCTGAAAATGAAAATAACTGATGCCCACGAGGCAGGAAAAGGCTATAAGGAGCACAGTAGTTTCAGGTAGCTGTTTCCTCAGGTCTTATTGTAATTAAGAAATGGCAGTTAACGGGAAAACTTTCTGAGAGAGCTGCTCGTTAGATCACTATAAAGGCAGCAAAAGACCTTCAGGAAGATTTTGCAGACTCTGGAGTGATGGTTCACCGCTCTGATGTACAGTGACACGTGCACAAATATGACCTTTATCGAAGTCAGCAGACAAAAAAAAAAAAACTCTCTTACATCCTGACAAATAGACTATAAACAGAAAATCCAGCTCCAGAAATGTGCAAATAAATGTTTGAAACAAGCCTGATGCATTTATGATTCAAGTCAAAATAGTTCCTTTTGGCTAGAATGAGCAAAAGGTCTCTCTAGAATGTAAAAAAAAAAAAGTTGGTAGAATTTCACAAAAAGAGCAGAACTGTTGAGCTCAGGGAAGGATTGATTTTGCTTTGGGCTTTTGTTACAGCCACTGGAAGCAAACTTCATACTGTCCGTAAAGAAAAAAAATGAAGGTGAGCATGGCCCCTACAACAGGATACTGATCCTAAGCACACCTCAAAACACACAATGGACGACCTCAATAGGTGCGAGCTGAAGGTTGTTCCGTGGCTCTCACAGTTTCCAGACCGAAATCACCAAAATTCTCTCAAAAGAGCAGAGTGGTCGAACAGTTTTACAGAACTTGAAGCAATTTGCAGGAAAAATGGATGAAAATCCCCCAAACAAGAGCTGAAAGAGTCGTTCATGGCTACAAAAAGTTTTTACAAGCTGTGATATTTACCAAAGGGCTGTTGCTAATTATCGACCAAACACTTGCTTTGGGCCTTTTGGGGTTTTTTTTTTTGCTGTTTTTAGACTATGAAAGAAAAAATATCAGGTTGCAAATCAGGTCATCTTTTACTCGCTGAATTGATCACAGTAGCAGAATTTTTTGACCATAACTTTTGCATTACAAATGTTGTACATACAACGTACATAAACCCCAACATACACTTCATTTTTGCACGATTTTCCATATAGTTTAACATCTTTTGCCATACAACTGTGTGACAAACAAGCAAAGGGGGACTACAGATGAGAACTAGCCTTCTGGCTAATTCTGGCTTTTTTAACCATGTGTAATCATGTGTTTTATGAAATTGCGCTGTCCCCTTTTAGATAAACTAATCTAATAATCTAAAAAGTGCTGTAACTGTTAAAATATGTATGAATTTCAGATTTGTCTCCTTAGTCAATTATCAAATCTGTCAGTTAGCAGGACAAGCTAAGTGTCCGCCGGACTCTAAGCTATTTGGTCCCTCATTAGTGTCAAACCCGACGCTCTAGACCCCCAAAAGGTCACGGCAAGAACTTTTTGGAGGACCGCTTTGGCATGACCTTGCGATAACATTTGCATTTCCTCTGACTCGTGGAGACAAGCTGTGCTGCATTATGTGTCCTGTAATGTAGTAGAGTCACCGCTTCACCAAGCTTCTCTCACTGATCGCTGCTGAAACAAACCGTCTCTGTGGTTTCTGACTGCACACTCAGCTGTCAGTGTGACTGTAGTCACGGCTGCACTTTGGTTGTTAAGATTATGGCTGTGACACATTCATTTTTAATGGGCGTAACACTGACGACATGCAGCGGTTCTGTGTGTGCAGTAGTTTTGAACTGAAGCTATTTCATTCCTGAACTCCTTGGTAACACATCTGCTGTTATCACAAAGTAATGTGAAAGTAGTCCTCTAATAGAATCTCACCATTAGCTTTTTGGAAAGAAAACCTTGGATTTTTCAAGTCTTAAACCAATGTAAGAGCAGTGCGTCTCTTACATTTCTACTGATTTTACAATAACAGCAGCAGCAGTAGCTCAATGTTGGAAGCTCCAGGTTACTGATCAGAAGATCAGCCCCCGTAATGCCGCCACCTTAGTCTCTTGAGCAAAGCCAATCTTCTCACAGTGCTGCAATGTATTTGTGACAAATAAAGGTTTCTTTCTTCCACAGGAGCACTGCAAGAGTTCAAAGTAGAGCATGCACTAAACTCTGACATTATATTAATAAAAAAAATTCACTAAAACACTCTTCTCCCTTAGCTGTGCAGTGAGCATTCATAGAACAAGTGACAGAGTGAGATACATCAGCTGCATCTTCTGATGGAACATCAACATCATCATCATCATTTACATCGTAAGCAACACACAAGTCGTACTGTACCTGTCCAGGGCCGAGCTGAGCTCATCCAGCCGGTGGGCATCGCTGGTGTTTCCCAGCTTAGACAGAGCGTCCATCCTTTTCATGATCACCTCCAGCATGTCACTGATTTTTCTCAGCACCCCGCGAGACTCTTGGCCACCAAGTACTAAAAAGAAAACCCACACAGACAAACAAATACAGTGACTAATAATAGAAACAAGATGGCAAAAAGTGGACAAAGAACGCAAGAGCAGCATGAGAAATTTGAATAAGTCATGAATTCAACATGTTTTTGACGTTATACAGAGTGCATGTATACAAACATGCTGTAGCTTCATATAATGTAGGAAACAAGGTCAGCAGAGCAGAACAACTTGTTTGTTGTCCAAAATACAACCACAATATTTTCTGTAGCAGCAGCTTAAATGCACTGATGTAGCATAAACTCACCAAGGCCACATTTTAAGTGACTTCATTTCAGGTCCCAGTTTCCCTGTGCTTTACCTTTAAACGTCATTTTATTCTATTTTCTATTTACGTTCGTCCCTCATGACTAAACCCGGCGGCTCAGTGAGGAGTCGGTGCTCCAGCAAAGCAAAGGAATGGGCAAATTACTCTCTCAGTATTGGATTTGTCTTTCTGCCTGGCTTAAATTATTAATGACCTGACTGGTGGTAAACCAGAAGGATGCTGTTAGCAAACACCAAGTCAATTAATGAGCCAGCAGCTACAGACAATAAGGTCAAAGCAGGTTCTTGACTGCATTGATGGTGAGTGGAGGTCCTGACCCTGCACTCCTTCCTTTGATCACACTAAGCTCAATGCCAGGCATAACTATTAACAAGGAACCGCATCGACTGCTAAGAAGTTAGCTTGTTGCCTCAGGCAGTAGGTCTTAAGTCGTTTTTGATGAAGAAAATTCAAAGGGTCGGGAAAAATAATGCCAGTCTTGGGACTTCAGAGTGAATTTGTGGTCTGAACTCTTGAGGAAAAAAAAAATAAAAAAAATAGCAGAAACCAACAACAGCCTTATATTGTTCTTGGAGGTTGAGAGTGAAAATAAAGCTTCTCCTCTCGCTCATCAATTGCAAAAGAATTTAGAAAGTGCAACGTGTGCAGACTCACTTCCCCTGTCAGAGTTCATTTATCACCACCCAGGCAAAAGTCACCTTTCACAGGAAAAATCGTATTACAGCCGCAGTAAATAAAATAAGGAGAGGGAAGAAAAGTCACACTTTTTCTGGTCTTGTGTGCTTTTGAGATTGGAAAAAAAAAAAAGGAGTGAACCATTCATATCATGAAGAAGGCTCATGAAAACAATGAAAGACTTGAAATACATCGGAGTGAATGTTATTGGAGAGAACCCAGATATTCTCCAATTCTTGCACCTTTACTGCCTATGCATATTTTTTTTTTCCTTTGGCTTAGCACAGTTTTAGTCATTTATAGTTTCCTCCATCCCAAAGATGTCTCCCTTTGAATAATTCAGCAGTTAGAGAACAAATTTCCATTCCATGAGCAGAAAGAAAGAAGCTAAATGAATTTACATTCAGATTTTCTGCTTCACAGCAGCAGTTTAACAATACATTTGACAGAAGAATGGTACAGGATGAAAAAAAAAGGGGGGATGAGATTTAGGAAGGAAGAAATCAATGGAAGTAACATATCACAATGCTGTCCAAGCTGCAAAACCTGTTGCATCTGAGACCAAACTAGTAAATCCTGAACAAATAACTATTTCACCGCTTTACTGTGAATTTATTTGAAAGGATTTCTGTGTATTTCAGAGCATCCTCTATCAGTCGCAGTGTACTCGCTGCAGTAAGTCTAAACACAGCCTCTGGGCTAAAGTGTGGGAAGAACTCACATTTCTTCACAGCAATAATCCTCACACGCTTTGTGCTAGTAAATCACCATTACTGGGACTGAACACGCTTCCTACAATGTACATTTTTAGCAGTGATCCGTGTATATGTATATGTATATATCTGGCAGCCAGCTCCTGGTCAGGCATCCTTTTGCTCTTGCGTTCTCTTGGGAAACTTCAGACTAATGTGAGCTTTCCAACGCAGATTGAGGTGAGTAGCGGGTGTTGATAGCATCTATGTGGGAACGCAGAGCTTCCTCTGTCTCATTCCTCATCAGCTGGTTAATAAAAGGTCGATTTAGCAGCAGCTAATCTCCTTTAACGACTCAATTTCCAAAGTGCCACGGCACAATCGATATTATGAACAAATTCCAATTAGATCACATTTGTACTGTAGCCTGCTGTGTGTGTGTGTGTGTGTGTGTGTGAGCTCGGAAACTGGCTGACCAGCTATAAACAGCTGCCCTCGAAGAGTCCCACGGGCTCCATTCGAAAAAATGTTCCTCCCCTCCGAAACAGACAAGTCGATGCCACAGGTTTTTACCCATTATTCGTCTGCCAGCCAGTATCTCTTTATCTGTTTAGCCCTCAGTGTGTTCCAACCTTTCTCCTTTACCTGTTTCTAATTTTGTCATCAGCTTCCCCAAAATGTGCCTCTCCACGAGCCTCGCCAGATTGTCTATCTGCCTCAGCGGTTGAGCCGTTTGTCTGTTAATCCCGTCTGCCTGTTGCTGAATTCTGCTCTTATCGGCAACATTAGTAAACTTCGCCTTCACCTCACATGCTTCCGTCTGCAAGTCAGTGGCTGCTGGCATATAAAGCTAATCCTTCAGGCATTTTCAGAAACCTTTCAGCTGGGCCGAGAAAGCGTTGATCTGCCCAGAAAATAGCTACGAGTGCGTGAGGACCAAGTGAAACAGGGAGAGAGCGCCGGTGCGTGAAACACAGACTGTCAACATGAAACCATAAATCACCACAAAACAACACCAGCTGAATATCTTTCATAGATTTAAGAGTCTAGGTTTCATTAAAAAAAAAAAAAAAAACACATGATCTCAATAGGTTTGGAGTCTATAATTCAGTGAAGTGTTTAAAAATTATATTAAATCACTTGACGATGAGCTTTAGTCAAGTCACTTTACAAATAAATTGCAAAATAGACGAGTACATAACGTTGTATTGCAGCAATATCCCACCTAACAAGAAAAAAATGTTAAATTAGAAAGTTCAAGTATAGCATGTGGGCAAGAACTGATGTTCAAAAAGCATCTTGAGCATTTTCGAACATGACAACAAGCAGGTCTGACATGTCGTGCTCACATGCAATCCACGCGCTGCAGGATGTCTGACTGCTGTTGCCTTCAATCATGCAACCCGCTGGGCAACTTTAACCGAGTGCACAATTGTACAGCGCATAGATGTTGACATTACTGCAGTTTTTATTTTTTTATTTACTCTCTTTTGAGATAAAATACCTGAAAACAGATTAGAAATAACCGAGCACAATGCCTGAATGAAGGACAATGAAGCAAATCCAAACTCTAATGAAGACTGTGTGGTTATTTCATATGATTTTAGATAAACTGAATATTCAGCTGCAACTTTAAAGAGCTAGTTTCTACTAAGAACTCCACTCACGGTTAGTCTGCTCAGAGTACTTGTGTGAACTTAAAGGGTAAATGACTTCACACATTCACCGTAAATTAAATAAGACAAGCGAAGTGAGCTTAGAGTAAAGGTCAGGTATTGTTTGTTTGCACGAATGAGTCGGCTTAGCTCAGCAGAAACCTTATTAATTTATCCTCTTCAGTTGGAGTTGCTGTCAGAAAAGTTTTTCAAAAAATTGAGGACAGAAAGTGCAGCCCAGCAGAGCGACGGGCCACATGGATGTGAGTAAAATCGAGAAAAACATGGCAGCAAGGATCCCATCAGAGATAAACGAGAACCAGCTTGAAATATCTGAAATGGGATCAACAAGTGTTGGATACAAGGGGACAGCGATACAGCAGGAGAGCTCGATGAGAAGCTGGAGCTGAAAGCAACATGCACAAGACATGAGCTTTCGGAGATGAGAGTTATTCTAAAAGGAGTCTAACATGTAATCCATCTTTAAAACACAGGCAATGCATTTTTAATAGTGATGCACGATATTAACATTTCTGGCCGATACCGATATCCGATATTAGGATTTCCAATATCGTCGATAGCTGATATTACCGATATCGATTTTCAATTTTTGTTCACACTGAAAAATGAGGATAAGTAAGCACTGTGAGACCATGAAAACTATTCAATAAGAAGCCCATACCAAATCAGACCATATAGTCTTCTTTATTACACAACAAAAGCAAAACATATTTAAAGATATTTTAACATATTTAAAGTTCAGGTCCAGGACCATTTAGGTAAAAACATCTGTAAAACAGCAGCAATATCAACTGTAGAGATTAGAGGAAAGCACTAATCTTAGACAATCATCAGTTTTTCACATTGGCTAAATTTGTCCATCGGACCAATACCAATATATCGGAAAAAAACACTAATATCGGCCAATATCAATGTGGTCGCCGATATATCGTGCATCCCAAATTTTAACCCAAATAATTTGTGGAACCAATGCACACCGGCACACAAATGCAAACCAGTGCAGGAAGAAGAGTTAATATGCGTTGACTAGGTAAGAGCAACAGCATTCAGACATTTAGACTTATGCTACTGCTGCACTGGACCGTTACTGTCGTGCATTAACACGTAAACATTACTTTAACCGTCATTTTACCAACATATTCAATACGCAAGAAATATCGACTGGAGACAGGAAAACGTAGACAAGTTAATTTAATTTGCATATTGTGTCAAAGAAACGTGCTAATTGCATCTTTTATACTAAGCACAATCAATTAAACACTTATTTCCCCGTTCATTTTCAGTAATTTCAAGTAAGCATTATTATTACTATTATTATTATTACTATTATTATTATTGTGACACAATATTATTTATTTATCATTATTTATTTAGACATCTCGACATTTCAGCAATGCCAAATCTGGGCAATTGTTGGCTGAAAAAAAACCCCACACTGCTGCCATCCAAAAACTACATTTCAGAGATAAATTCTCGATTTGTTCCAGCCAAACTTCATCTTGGAGCTCCGACAAACCGATCTTTCTCCTCGCATACATATCCTTCCCACCCACTCACTCCGCAGCCTCCAAAATGCTTACATTCGTTCTCTGACTGCATGTCGACCATATGTACGACGCAACACTTTTATCTCACTTGTGCGACAGAACAAA